CGAGTACGTTCGCTGTCGAGCCAGACAGATTTCAAAGTAATCGGATGGCCCACATATCATGAAGAAGCCGCCTTCAGTAAATGCAACAATTTCCGAGAAGGCGGACGTCAATTGGAACCGTCAAAAGTCATAAACAGGTCCCACGACTATTGTCTCTGTACTAGCTTTTATTAACCATTGACTATTATTGTCTTGGTTGAGATTATCTAGGGAGGGTCCTATGCTTTCAGACCTCCTATTTGGAGATGATGCACTACTTTTCTGCAAGGCTGGGGCAGATCAAGCTCAATTCACAGGTCAAAAGGTGAATTGGGCAAAATCATTAGTATTCTTCAGCAAGAATTGCTCTTCTAACATCCAGCTCAGTATCTGTCATCAACTGCATGGTATTTCTGCACACCAGTCCACAAGATATTTAGGTCTCCCCCTGGGCATTGGGAGATCTAAGAAAGAAGCTTTTGATCATATTTTTAGCTCAGTGAAGTCCAAAACAGCTGGAAAAACAATTTTCTCTCTCCTGCTGGGAGAGAAGTTCTGACCAAGGCAGTGATCAGTGCCATTCCTATTTTCACAATGGCTTGCTTTAAGCTCCCCAGTGCCATCATCAAAGAGATTTCCAAGCTTTGTGCAACCTTTTGGTGGAGTAAAGGTGGTAATCAGGAAAAGGGGTTGCATTGGAGGTCTTGGGAGAAAATAACTATCTCTAAAGCTGAAGGGGGTCTAGGATTTCAAGATGTGAAGTTTTTTAATGAAGCTCTTCTTTGCAAACAGCTTTGGAGAATCACTTCACAGCCAGACCTCTTAGTTAGTAAAATCCTCAAAAGTATATACTTTCTCAACTCCTCCATCTTTGATGCTGATAGAAACCAAAACAGCTCCTAGCTTTGGAACTGCTGGCTGGCAGTGCTATCTACTTTCTCTAAGGGGTTCAGAATCCAGGTGAGAAATGGGGAATCTACAAAGATTTCTGATGTTAATTGGACCCCATCTTTAAAATTTGCAAGGCCTACCATGATAGAGTTGGCTAGAAGCCACCTGATATGGATTAAGGAGTTAATTCACAACAATGGCAGAATCTGGAATGATTAGCTTATCTCTCAGATTTTCAATGAGGAGGAAAGATCAACTATCCTTAAAATCAAATCTTTAAACCCAGCTAAGGATGACATAATGTATTAGAGTCTTGAAAAAAAAAAGGTCACTTTTCAATTTCCTACACCTACTTTCATCTCAGTAAAATCAAACTGTTGAAGATGGACATCCCACAAGGCAGCAGCACAAAGATGGTGAGTACAAATGCCAGAAACAGAATCTGGAAACTTCATGTGACCTTTAGACTCAAACATTTCATATGGAAATGCTGCACTGATACTCTCCATGTTAAAACAAATCTTCTGAACAAAGGTATGATTCTTGATCACATCTGCCCTTCCTGTGGTGAGGCTCCTGAAACAGTGTGTCACTTATTCTTTAATTGTCCTAATGCCAAAGCCTTATAGAACATTAGCCCAGTCACTTGGGATGGCATATGTTCAGAGTACTACCTTCTGCCAGTGGTGGGATCAAATTTGTGCAGTGAAGAAAGCTGAAATAGCTGAAGACATTCAACTCACTACTTACCTATTATGGTGGCTATGGAAGTCCAGAAACTTGTGGATTTTTCAAGAAAAACAGCTCCCTGCCAAATTTACTGTGAAGGCTGGCCTTGAAGATTGGCTGGACTGCAAGTCTGTGATGTCTTAGTTGCTGATTTTTCTGTTTTTTCTCTTTGATTTTCTAGTTTGATCCTCTTTGCTGTTTTGGTTCTTAGTTTTTGTTTTTTTTCAGGATTTGGCAATCTGGCTAGGCATGTGCAATGGTAGGTTTGTCAATTCTTGTGGTTTTCTTTAGTTAAAGTTCTGTTGATATCCCGTCTGTGGGATCCTTTCTAGGCCGCTTTATAGCGAGTCCTCTCTATTTTCTTTTCCGGCTGTTGGTCGCGTATGTATTCGAACATTATTCTATTGGAGTTTCTAATATTCTTCCTTTCATTTCGAAAAAAAAAATAACCCACTTGCAATTAAAATAGTGGGTCATGTATAAATATGTGGACAGGAGGAGAGAGAGAAGGGGCTTCCTTCCATTCTTCATTTTTTTTCTCCTCACAACTCAAAAAGAGAGTAAAACTCTCTCCAATAATAAAAAGAAAACACTCATTTTTAATTATCTTGTTCTTCATTTTTATACAAGGAATTCGATTCATTTTCAATGGTTGATAGTCCGTTTTCCGACATCAACAACAGGCATTTGCAATTTGTTGATAGTTGGAATCTAGTGAGGATCTTCTATCCTTGTAGACCTGTCATTGCCAATTTTAATCCCAATGTCTCCTTCAAAGATGTTTATAATATCCAACCAAGAATTCCAGAGCCAGGATGTGTTTTGCTTCTTACATCCTGAAAGAAGATGTATGAGGAAAGTATATTCATTTCAGTACTCTACTGACCAGTAAATGAGGATTGGTATTCACTCTCGTACATTGTTGAACAAGCAGATGTCCTGGAACCCTAAGCCCCCATTAGCTTTTGGCAAAATCATTCTTTTCCAATCTCTCCAATGCACCCCTCTCTTTTGATCCTCTCCATTGCTCCACCAGAATTGAGCACATAACCCAACAATCTCCTTGCACAAAGTGACTGGAATCTTGAAACAAGACGTAGCAAAAACCTACAAGGCATTTATAACTACTTTGATTAAAACTTCCTTCCCTCATGGTATCAAAAGATTTTCCAGCTACTTAGTCTTGCTTTCACAGTCTTTAGAATATAGGAAAAAGTTTTTTTTTTTTATCTGTCAATTCGCAAGGGAAATCTCAAATATATGATAGAATTGTGAGTCACTCTCCCTTGAAGGATAACACAGACACATGCACCAGAGTGTTAGTAGAATTGAGGGAGAAGAAGAGAAATTGAGAGAGAAAGTAGAAGGATGGGAAAAATGAATGGAAGTGAGGTATTTATATGTTCTTTTGTTTTTTATTTTTTATTTTTTCCGATTTTCTTTCTAATTTTCTCGATTTTTTTATGAGACCTGTCGGGTTTCGTGTCACCCGACTGGTCGGGGGACTGAGGATCTTTGGATTGCAACGGTCCTACTGATCCAACGAAAGAAGCACAAAAGGTGATACTTGTCGCCCCGACTCGCCAAAAAAAAAGAAAAAAAACTTCCCCTTGGCAATACCCGGCCCCTCGACCCGGACCGAGCCAGGAAAGAACCCGACCATCTCGATGGGTCAAAAACTAGAAAAAGGAACCGAAATCGGCCCGCAATGTACATGTTACACAACTGTGT